GTTCTCTTCGACCCCATGTAGGAAAAGTAGAGCATATGAAGATAGACAATTTTTCTAGGAATCTCTTGGCATGTCAGAGTTTATATGAAAGTCATGCCAACTCAAAGCATATGATACAGATATTTGTCGATTGATCTCATCCGAAAAAGAAAGACCAATCTTCATTTTTTTCTTTTATAAGCAGAGTTTAGAGACTACAATTAAATCAGTAATATGAGATGTATTCACCCAATTTCGTTTAAGGTGATAAAGGACTGGCAACTGAATTTTCTCACAATGATATTGCTAGAGTTGGCATTCCCATTTAATTTCACATATCCTTGCTTTCCCAAAAGTTGTTCCCATCCAAAACATAGCAAATATTATTTTGCCTCATCGGCTCTCCCACCAAAGAATGCGATATGGAAAGATGCCTGGCCTTGAAATTCACATCTGCCCTGTGACTTAAGAGCACTCGTAGCAAGGTTGCGCAATGGTTAATAGGCTGAGCTTACAAACTACCCTATCATGGTTCGACTCCCGTTGGGGGTGTTGATAAGAACTAGGCGAGGTCGAAACTCCAGTCCATCCTGGATGAGAACAACGTTCGGGAAAGTAAGGATATGTGAAATTCAATGAAAACGTCAGCTCTACTCATATCATTGTGGGAAAATTCTACTAACAGTCCTTCATAACTCTACACGAAATATGGTAAATACATCTTACTCCTCTTGTGTTTGTCGTTGTTAGAGTTTATTGAAACTTTCAGGTTGATAGAGTCTCGAGATATCCAACCATTGGTCTTGGTGATATTCACTCAAAATATGAATCACGTCCACACTGATATTCCAAAAAGTTCCTCTAAAACATTTTCCCTTCGAATAATCTTAAAAGTAAATAAATAAAAATAAATTCATATATACGGGCCTTGAACTAGTTCTAAAAGGTTAGGCTAACTGTTTAGAAAATGGGGAATCTAAAGGGTTTTTAAAGATATTGTGATACTTTCTTCGGATATGTTCTCCTTTAGAGGGAGATGAGACATTTTATTTAGACGAAGATGCCGACAAAGATTGTTGAAACACAAAAGTAATTGTACAGTATGTTGGGTTCAGAGGCCAAAACATGCAGAGCGCATGACGCAAGTTGGTCATGGAGTAAGGTGTCCTAAGATCCTACGATTAGTGGGATATAAAAGGTCTGGTGCGAAACGCAAAATCAGAGAAGCTATTGTAACCATCCAATTAAGAGGCATTTTGAATGTTTTGGAAGAGGGATAAGAACTTACGCAACAACTTTTTATTATAGATTTGAAGACCAAGCTGGTGGCCGCAATCTCCTTCAACTGAATAATGTTTGCTTGTTCGAAAGGATTTCCTATTCTCATGTACTGATGATGGCGTCTCTCACCGAGGATGTTAGTAAAACGTCTAGGACTGAATTAAGTATCATGACTACTATGATAGAGAACTTAGGAATTGGTATATTTTACAAGGTCTCTCTGTCGCTCCGACCAAATTACGCAAACAATATTAAATCAGTAACTATCCATAAAATTTGTATTCATTTAGGGTGATAAATGACTGATAATTGAATTTTCCCAAAATCAGATGGTTAGGCTGCAGGTTGTTATTCGAATTTCACTTTGCTTTGTCTGCAAAAAGATTTTATCATTGATAATGGAGGTGATGGTGAGACCCAGGCAAGGTAGAAATTTCAACCCAACTACCTTTTGGGGGTAAAGGTGAGTGCAATTCAATGGCATCGTGAGACCTACTCATTTTATTGTGGGAAAATTCAACTATCAGTCCTCTATTACCTTATACGGTTTTGCGTGGAACCAGCTCTTATTCAAGATCCGCAGGTAGTTTGAAAAGCTATTCAATGTGAATATGATAAGAATGGATACCTCAGTGATAGATTTTAGGTTAGTAAAAGGCTGACTCAGCTAAAATCTCCTTAAATGCGTCCAATATATGTCATCCGTTGTTAATGTAGGCAAAGAAGGCCAATTAACTCAGACGCAAGAGTGTCCGACGCCTAATTGTAGTGGTAGTCTAGTCTCCTCAAGTCCAAAAGAAAGGATACATTTCAGTTTTCGTTTGTAAGTACCAGTAAACCACATATATGAGATGTGATGAAAGTGTTAAGAGGAGTTTAATTTTCCCACAATCTTATGAATAGATATTACGTTTTCGTTGAATGTCCCGTCGCCTTACTTTCCAAAAAGTGTCCTCATCCATGCTGGAGTCGACTGCAGTTTCGACCAGCCTCGGTCTCATCATCACTTCAAGTGGGACTCGAACTATGACACTGCAGCGTATAATTTCGACAAGTTAACCACTACGCCAAACTGCCACGAAAGCCCTTTTGTCACAGGTAGATGTGCATTTCAATGTAGGTCAAGTATTTCTCCATATTACATCCGGTGGTGGGATTTTCGATCAAGAAGAGTTATATTTGTATAGCAATTATTTATTTGCTTATTCTTCGTTTGTACCTTTCATTCCGTTTGAAAAAGTGGGTGGAAGGGATTCATAAATTAATTGAATATTAAAATAGGTTTTCCTTGGACTTGTGACTGTTGGATAGTGCGAAGAAGATCTTGGATCGTCGTGCTGCCACCACAATGAATCAATCCGTGCTTAGCTTTCAATCATCATGTGATGTACATCGTCAGAGTCACAAACCATTATTTACTAATATTTACCGAAAACCCTAAACCAAGAAATGTGGCCAGCTGAAATTCTACTTAATTCTTGTCTGGTCTCCTTTACCTGTTACTCTTGTTCAGGATGTTCTTTGCTCTGTTGATTTCAATCGGCTCTCGGATCTTCCGCTTAATTGTTACGTCCCCATATTATGTATGTATGTATGCCATAATCATGAGTTAGTTGGCAATTTTGGGTACCAAACCAGACTTCACGTTAGTCAAGTCGTCTTCTCTTACTCGGTGAATCTTTCTGTCCCATCTCTTTCTCTATAGATTTTTCTCTAATTCTATCCGGCAGCCAAAAATAGTTCTTGCTTAATTTCTTACACTCGTTCCACTTATTGATGATGTTATTTAGTTTTCTTAATTTTGATCAACTCCCTGGTCTTCTATTTAGCTCTCAATAACTCATATCAAGCAAAAAATTGGGTTTTATACCCTTCTTTTCAATCTTGGTGAACGATATGTCAGCATCAATCTACTAAAGAAGTCTTCGAAACCAAGCTTCTCTTCATGCCTATGAAGGGTCATTTAGTCTTGAGAACCTACGAACAGATTTTTCCCATCTATTCTGATTACACGTGTCTGCCCCTGATTTTTTAGCTCCGCTCGTACATCATATGCATACATACACACAAACAAGTCTGCATAAATGAAGATAGCCATCGTAGGGCACTGACTATATGTATTTGTAAATTTAATTGAAATGTTTTTTGAGTTAACTAACAAAGAAAGATTAGGCAGAATTGCTTTTATAATTTGTTGTATGCTCAAGATTGATATAAGATGATATCAAAGCTTCTAAAGTTGTTTGTCTTATGCTCTCCTGAGAACTGCGTTAACCTGAACCTTCTAGCAGAACCATGAAAGAAGTAACCATTGATAATCCAACGTAGTCGTTTAATGGGATCGATTAACGAAGGTTTTCAGCACACTTTTACTCGAGATGAAATAAAGGTATAATTTGAATCGCAATTATGAAAACCAAGATCATGTGACCTGTATGGTAGTGGTCGGACCTCATTGTTACAACTTGTTCGTGTAGTTATAGCGGCCCAAAGTCTTTGTCCAAAGTCTTCTGCTATAGTGACTATGACAATTTCATACGAATGGAAAGGTACTAAGTCTAGCATCAGACGCTGGAAATTATCATGTCTATTCTGGGATAAGATTCCCGATAAGGTGAGTTCAGCTACTAAGCTGCAAAAATGAGATAAAACTGTGTATAAAAATAATTACTTCCTTTTTTACAAAGTAAGCTTGCTACCTTCAATTGCTCGTGACTTCTTGAATGTGTCTGTCTGTTTATTTGTGCCGGCAATGCGAACATTTGGTGCATGCGATTAATTCCAGTTGCGTAAGAAGTGTATCGCACAAAATTATGCTTCTAGTTAAAGTTCGGCTACTACATCCCACCATGTTCTGAGATTCCGGAGAAGTGGTCAGATTCTGTGAAAGAATTGAAACCTGCAGAAATGGAGACAAAAGGGCCCTTTTAACTATGGTTTAATCATATTTTCTCAATTTAAGACTGTTTTAGAGCTATCTAGATTAACACACCTTGTACTTAACCCACTGTGATAGCATCCATGGTAATTTCCAGAGCCGGAATGTAGACTGGATGCATCCCCAAACCTTAGAAAATCCGGCCAAAATAAACACAAAAACACACTTCCTGAGGAGCTGAAAATAAACAAGTAAACAGTTGTGATAATGAAGCGAGAGATTCTGATATATGCGATAGGTGAATTTATCAGGGCTGTTTAGCATAAAAGTAGTCTCTTTGACGAGTTTTAATGTTGTGCTAGGACTAAAAAGACTCATTAAGACTCAAGATTCCGGCAAAACGTCTGGGATCGTACCGCATGACTACTATTCTGGCTGAGCACTCCTAAGAAGATGCGTTGCTCTACGTCGTTTTGATAATTAGACCAAAATAGAGGCCATTCCATCTTGATCTTCATACATTGAAGCCTTGTCAGTGCTGATTTCGTGTCTGAAAGCGGACTCAGTAAACCTCCATGAGAGACCTCCTCAAACTGCCGAAAACGCTGCCAGAGTCTCTTCGGCAAAGGTCACCGCCAATCGGTAATGTTCCTGCCTTCGATACATGCGCACACCAACTGCCCCAAAATGACAGAGATCGCAGTGGTGGATCCGGTAGTGGTGGGTAGGTCAGACTAGCCTTATGCAGTTGTTTTTGTTGTCGAGACGAGAAGAAATCTCTCCGTATTGGCGAAACTCACGAAGTTTCTGTACCCAGGCATTTTGGGCGCAGTCTGTCTTGCGAAATCCCGTCGTTCATGAGCTAGCGATACTCTCGTCTCCCGACAAGATTCACTCTCTCGAATCTCGTCTTTCCCATCCGTCTCAGGATGACAGCTCCAGCAGGACTACATCCACTCACGTGTACCTGCTGTCCCGCTAAGGTGTGTCTGAAGGCGGCCGGATTACCTAAAACCCGGTACTTCAATCTACACAGTCCATGCTGGAGGGGTGAGGACATAGTGTGCATTCGCTTCTCTCCATAATCGTCTGCATATTGTGGCTCATGCATACATGCAAGTGTGCTTGTGTGTTTGTCTGTGTGTGATTTTGTCCCTGTAGTGCCTTGCAAAAGCAGTTGTTCCAACCGCCCAGCCCATTTGACGCGAACCACTTTGCCAGACGCGTCCATTTCGAAGATGGTCTAAATGCATGTTTCGTGTGACTGTGTTTGTGTATGTGTATGAGTGTGTGTATGTGTGTTTATGTGTTAGAGAGGCATTGTGAGAAGAGTATTAATGTATAAGCTAGGCCAAGACTAAGTCTGGTGGGGAGAATGGGCAGTTTATCAGGAATATCACTTCTCCCTATTCTTCACACTCGGCGGTCCTCTCCAAAACGGCCCTCCCGCCTCCAGAGCTAACAGCATAAGATTCGCCCTGACTACACCCTGGCGTGTGTACTATGGCCCCAGGAGATTAGGTCGTCTTAGAAGTCAGTTGTCTCTTCTGCGTGTGCAGACCGTCTAGTATAGTCATTTCTGCTACCAGGACATATCGTGCATCTGCCAAGCTCGATAGCCCAGCCCTGACTCCGACCTCCCTCACTCGTCCACAGACAACCACACACACACACACATACGCACACGCACACACGTTCACACAAAAAGATATGTATGATGGACAGAGGAACTGACATGCCTTTTTCTAGGCCTCATATCCTCGGTCTTTCCGGAATTTATAAATCCGGCCTCGACAAATACGCCAAATATCAGATACCAGATTTGAACATCACGTGGACCACACTTTTTTCGAATTTTTAACGAATTCATACACATATTTTGCCTAAAATCGCGTTTCCAATTGCACTACTCGTCAAGATTTTTGAATAAATAACTCCGTCTCTACTCATCATCCTAAAGCACACAGATATTCATGATATTGGAGTCAAGTTAGGTCAGTTTAATTGGAGTCATGGACAAGAGGAAAAATAACAGCAAATATTTATTTCAACTTCTTTTTTAGAGAATGTTAATATTCTCTGTTCTCAAGCACTGCTGAGGCATCTTAAAGCGGTTTCAGAAAACAATAAATAGGTAAGGTTTTCCGGATTTTGCCCAGTGAATGTACCTTTTTGGAATTGTATGCTTAGATTTTCCTGCTTCACTGCTTATATTTACTTATGGAAATCGCGTTCAGTTGTCCACTCAACTTCACGCAGCATTAACAGTAAAAGAGAGAGAGGGAGGAAATATTGTTAGTTTCGTTTGAGAATAGTGTTGAAGTGATTCATAAATTGCCTTCACTGGCCGTCGCAGGAGAACTGCCTTGGACTTATGAATGCTGGATTATGTGAAGAAAATCCCAGATCACCGTCCTGAGACACAAAAGAATGCATGCTGAGCTCTCGTGCGTCACGTGACGGACATTTTCAGAGCCTACAACCATCATGCGCAAAAATTCATTAGAAAACACTTTTTCTAAGAATGATCGTTTCTGGCTCTGATAATGTTGGTCACATTACAGACTAT